GCTTGAGCCCAGGAGTTGGAGGTTGCTGTGAGCTGTAATGCCATGGCACTCTGCCCAGGGGGACAGCTTGAGGCTCTGTCTCAAAAAAAAAAAAAAAAAAAAAGAAAAAAAGTTAAACTTCCTAGGAAAGCAAATCTCAGGCATAAAATGAAAGATTTTCCTATGGATTGAATTATCTTTGTGAGCCACTCAAGGAGAAGAAAGATCAGGTAAATGGAAATAATGAATTTAAATATCTCAGAGGCCAGACAACAACAGACCAAAAATCTAATAAAAAATTCTTAGTCATCAAAGGCACCACTACCACTAAATCATGGAAACTGCATCTCCAGGTAGCAAAATATTCTCAGTACACATTAATAGAGAAAGAGAAAAGATATAATTTCTCTGAAAATATGTGAGGATTAAGAATTTGACCACTGAAGCTGAGTTTGAAAGAATCAGAAAATGCTTCTCATCATAACAGAGTGAGTGAGGGTGGCGCCTGTAGTTCAAAGGAGTAGGGCGCTGGCCCCCCATTCAAACCCAGCCCCCGCCAAAAACTGAAACCCCCTGCAAAAAAACAGAGTGAGTGAAACAAGTTCGCCAACGGTTGTTTCATTATATCAAGCCCATAAATAATTTTTTTTCATGGATTAGAACTCAGAGTACACTCATTATATTGTTGAAATTAACAATTATCATGTTGAAATTCTCAATCATAATCTCTAAGAAGCTATATTAATTAGGCTGTAGATGATTGATTCAACAAAGTAAGGGCAAACTACATAGGTTCATTCTTTTCGAACAACCTGTCAAGTGGTTTTATACAGAAAAGGTCTCATTGATAACCCTTTGGTTATATGGCAAGAAGCCATATCAGTGAGCATTGGCTTCACCCATAGCATACCTATTACCTTGCAAAGAGCAAGATGAAATACATAAATTCATGACAGGCAATCAGATATAAGGCTGTACATTAATTTATTTAATTTCATATACCATGTGTAAAGCATATGCCTGGATCTCAAACCCCAGGCCAAAATTGCTTAGGTTATTCAGTTGTGAGTAGGTCTTCACTGATAGGCAAACAGCACAATACCATAGCAACCTTGAAATAAGATAACCGTTCTGAATTTGTCCATGACTGTATTTATGCTTGATGGCATCATACCATCAAAGTCATACCAGTGAAAAACAAAACACATTAAATCAATGCAAAAATGAGGCTATTGTTGTGAGGGTCCTATCAGGCAGTCACTTATTGGGAAGAACATGTAATAATATTCATATGCCAGAATGAATGAAACCAGTAATCTTCTCTTTCTTTCTTTTTTTATTTTTTTCTTGGAGACAGAGTCTCACTCTGTCACCCTCAGTAGAGTGGCATGGCATCATCACTCACAGCAACCTCAAATTCCTGGGCTCAAGTAATTCTCTAGTCTCAGCCTCCTGAGTAGCTGGGACTACGGGTGCCCACCACAACACCTGACTATTTTTCTTGGAGATAGGGTCTTGTTCTTGTTCAGGCTGGTCTCAAACTCCTGAGCTGAAGAAATCTGCCCATCTTTGCCTCCCAAAGTGCTAGGATTACAGGCATGAACCACTGTGTCTAGGAAAACCAGTTTTCTTAAAGGCCAAGTTCACTGGTGTAATGGCATACTTGGAATTTCTCAGTCACCAAAGCCAGATAAACAAATCTATTCCATGAAATTATGCATGTCATAACACTTGAAATTCCATAAATACAAATTAAAGAAAAATAGCCAAGGCATAAGCTTCAAAATAATAGGAGAATTAAGATTTATTGAACATATACATTAGGCTAAAATGTTCTAAAAGTGCTTTTCACTTAGATGAAGATAAAGATAACAAAAATAATTTCTTTCTGAGTCTGATTGTCTCATCTACAATAAATCAAAGAGAGACAAAATCTTAGCCCCTAATTATCACCTAATCTAGTCCACAGCTTTTAATAAGGTAATAAGAAATCACATAATTGAGCCACTCCATACAAGCAATCTCTTGGAATGGAAAAGGCTTACCAAGGATGCCCACATTAGACCCTGATGCTAGGATGAACTGAAGTTCAGGTACATTCAGGGTAGGACAAATGGGTACAGTTTCTAGGTGGGAGCAGGCTAAAGTCTGCTTCTTCAGTAGTCCTTATCTGAAGGGAGAGAGACAGGAAAGCACATGTATGGATCACACAAGCTATTCTTTGTGGAGAAAATAGTCAATGTTAAAAACACTGGCCCTGATACACATTGTAGAGCACTGATTGATCAAACACTGTAAATGCAAAGCATACCATTTTTTTCCCTTCCATTTTGGAGAAATTGCCAGGTGATTTCATGCAGATATAAAAGATCCTCATTGATCTTCATTTACCTACATAATAAGGAAACTACATTATTAATAATTGGCATTGATCATGGTGTATATATTCAATATTAATAAATCTACAGACATCACATAAAATTCAAGGTGTGGACATCAGATGTCAGAAAACTCCTTTATGTATTTATATTTACACAAATTAAAGGCAAGGCTTATACCTGAATTTCAAATTAGTGTCCCAAATCTTATTTATTTATTTATTTATTTATTTTTGAGACAGAGTCTCAAGTTGTCACCCTTGGTAGAGTGCTGTGGTGTCACAGCTCATGGCAACTTCAAACTCTTGGGCTTAAGTGATTCTCTTGCCTCAGCCTCCTAAGTAGCTGGTGCCCACCACTAAGCCTGGCTATTTTTTTCATTGCAGTTGTCATTGTTGTTTTAGCAGGCCTGGGCTGGGTTTGAACCCTCCAGCCTCGATGTATGTGGCTGGTGCCCTACACACTGAGCTACAGGTGCTGCCCATCTTATTATCTTTATGTCGTGAATCACAATTCAAAATATAACAAGATCATCAAAACCTGAAAATATTGTAATAAGGATGACTATGCCTATTCATGTATTTAGAAAAAAAACCCCACTACACCATAAAGAGGATGGAAATGAATAACAAAACTATTCCATCTGTTTAACTTCAGGAGAGCAAAAATGTTTAGGGTACAATTCTAAGGCAAAGTTCAAGTTTGCTGAGCCCTTTACCCAGGGGGTGTGCTGAACACCCTCCCATTGTGCACTGTAGGTGACACTGTCCCCTCTCACTCTGCCTTTGCCCTTCTCACCCTCTACTCTTTCACCTCCTCACTTCCCCTTCATAGACTATACTTGTGTTACACTTGCATACAGTGGGTTATAGGTATATGGGTTGCATATTAGAATTGAATACACAGAAAATATTTCTTTTCCCATTCTTGAGAAACTTCACTAAGAAGAATGAATTAAAAACCTACCTGTTAAACCCCAATTCCATGAAAACACATGCTGGACCATTCAGGGATGGAAGCCCCAAAGAAACTTCTTTCCTGGATGAAACTCTCTCACAACCTACAAGTGACATCTGGCATCACAACCAACCCTACACAACATCAGGGGTAAATTTTAGTGGAGACTGAATTATCTGGCATGGAGATGCCCAGCAATTAGCCAGTCACTCACGGCAAAGGGACACCCAAGTCAGATAATGATATTGTGAGAGCAGACAGTGAGACAAAAGGATAGTACATGTTTATAGGGCCCATATGGAGGAGTCAGAGGGCCCGCATGCACCATAGTAGGCAATGTGCAGCTCTGCTAGGAAACCACTGCCTTGGCACGGCTCAACACCAGGCCTGGGAATTGCCACGACCACAGCTCATTGCTCAAAGAGCTTTGGACACTGAAGGTCCAGGGCTAGGAGTCAATGCTGCATCTGGGCATGTGGACATGAAGGCCTTCTCTATGCATTAAAGGGGAGATGGACTATGGGGCCCAGTGGTATACTCTGTGTCCTAAGCCGATGGACACCTAAGGAGACAATGAACTAAGGGCCTGAGATGCTACCAACATGGAACTGTGTGTTGCCTTCTGTCTCCCACAAGGACCCTTGTGGTCTGAGGGCTCCTGGACCACTGCCACTGACAAAAACATGGGGACTCCAGGAGTAAACAGAAAACTTCCCCCACAAAAGAAGACAAAGGTTACATTTCCCATTGGATTGCCAACAAAGGCACTATTTGCAATCAGATAGGAACACAGCCCCAAGACCCATCCTAGCTACTCTAAGCCCTACCTGTCAAAGGCATTGCTCTAGGCCAGGCGTCCTCAAACTACAGCCCACAGGCCACATGCAGCCTGCCTAAGACATTTATCTGGCTTGCCAGGTATTTTTGCTGCCACTGCCTGTCCTGCATAGCAGCCGACTCGTCCCAGGGCCCACAGTCCGGCCCTCCAACAGTCTGAGGGACAGTGAACTGGCATCCTGTTTAAAAAGTTTGAGGACCTCTGCTCTAGGCCATTCACTCACCTTCTATCCTCAACTCCAGAGTACCAACACGGGCAGAACAGATCCATGAAACAGGGGAAAATGAACTCAACAACGAGCCACACAAATAGACCCCAGACACACAACTCACAAAAAGAGTTGGGGAGCTACAGAGAGAGGGCATCTAAACACATGCCCTGCCCGCAAGAAAACACAGCCTGTGGCCATGAGCTAGGCCGCTGTCCACGGAGTCCAGGCTTCTCCCTCAGGACTCCAAATCACACCAACCTGGGAGAGAAAGGGCTGGGGCCAGGAGGCCTCAGGCTGAAGCTCTGCCAACCACACCCCAGCCCCCACCGCAAGGCCGGTCACAGCTTTCCTGGTAACAGCTAACTCCCCAAGCAAACCACTCACGTGCCATGCTCTTTGCTGGAGGGCCATCCTGGGAAGAATGGATCCCTGAAATACATGGGGGTGAAGAGCACTAGCTCAGTAAGCAGCCACCTCCATGACCTGTCATAAGTAAAATGGATACCTGACACCCAGGCCAAGCGTGGAACATGGGGTGCTCATGAGGAACACACATAACAGCTAGCTGGGGACAGGGCTCAAGCCAAAGCGACGATTACCTGTCGGGTCACGGCATCCTCTTTTGATCACCTAGGCTGGGCCTCAGCTCAATCCTCTCGTGTACAATTTTTTTTTTATTCATCACCTCTCTTCAGAGTTAGGTTGTCATCATCGAACCAGGCCATGGCCACCCCTCCCTTCCCGCGCATAGGTGCGGCTGGAGGTGGAGAAGCTCACCACAGCTCAAGGCGGGAGGCCGGGGGGCCAAGAGGGACACGAGTTTCCGCGGAGTGCATGCTGGCCACCTGCTTGAGAGCCACTGCCCAGCCACACCGGGCCCGAGGGACGGGACGTGTGTCTGTCTGCGGGGGGAGTGGGACGAGGAGGAGGAGGAGGAGGAGGAAGAGGAGGAGGAAGAGGAGGACAGTCTGGGTCCACCGAGACTCTGGAGCCTCCTGGGGTGGGGGAGGGGGCTGGCCCTCGCTGGCAGGGGCTGCGGGGACCCCAGGGCGGATCCGGAGCAGGGACCAGATGCGCTGCCCCTGGAGTCCTGGAGCCTCCCTCAGGT